ACACACACACAATCAATACTTTGAAATTCATTTTCTTTCTTTATTCAAGGCTTCCTCAAAACAATAAAAGATGACCTTTGGGAGACTGCCTGTACCCAAATCTAATCATTTCTGGGTTTTTCTTATTCTGATCCAAGTATTTATACTTTCCAGAGGCCTGATCCTGTCATTCTGCCTAAGGTGTGGACTGACTTTGCCCTGTGTTTTTTTAATTGGCAAACAATATAACAACATTGCACCTTCCCCCTAAGAAATTGGAAAACAAATGGAAAATAAATCTCCCCAAATGCACTGTCCTAATATCACAATGATGACCATTTTTGTTCATTTTCTTCCAGTACAATTTGGTAGATTGCTTTCTTTCACTTAACATTATTTCATAAGTGTTTTTCTATGATACTAAATAATCTCTATAATTATCATTTTAATGGTGCACTGAGTGAGTGTACACCATAATTTACTTAACCATTTACCTATTGTTAGGGATTTAGTTGCTTCCATTTTTCACTCCTTTAAGCTGGAATGAACATTTTTATATAAGCTATTAATTTAAAGCAGCATGCAGAGATGACTCTCCATCACTAATCTAAAAATACAGGGTTTATATATTTACAACTCGCATTTGATTATGAAATTTAATTTGAGAGTAATTAAGACATTTATATTCCAAACAGCTCCTCGACATCAGGCTCTCCGTGAGCCAGACAGGCCCGACCATGACTCGCCATTTTCACCTCAAGACAGCACAGTCCGATGAATTCTAAAACACAATTTTCTTATGAAAAATAAACTTGATGAACTCCAGCTGCTTTAGAGCCAAGAGATTAACTCCAAGAACCAGATCCATGGGCCTCGGAGGTGACCCAGCCAAGGCAAGCCATGGCTGAAAACACCATTTTGGCTTCCTGCTCAGTCCAAAGCTCAAGGCAGCCCTCGCTGAGTCTGTGCTCCAGAGCCAGGCGTGTTCCCGGCACCCACCTGGAGGTTCCCTGCATCCCCTGCACCCAGAGACCTCGGGGCCACAGGAACGGAAATTGCTCAGACTAGTCCCAACTGTTTGATGCTTTCTGACGTTTATCATGGGTCATTTCAGGCTACAGACTTCCCAGGGCAGGGGAAGTGGTTTAACGCATGGGATTTAAAGGGAGGAAGGGTACCACCCACCAGCAAATTAAGAAAAAACCTTGTGCCTCAGTTTCTCAATCTGCATCTTGAAAACAGCAGTAGTGCTCCAATATGAGGCTATCGTGAGGGTCAAGGAGAAAAATGCAAGTGAAGTGCAGAGGATAATGCTGGCATTGGGGTAGGACGCAGAAGTACGTAACATGTGGACTGAAGGCTGACGTGAAACTAACGTACATTCATCTGCTGAATGAACGCATGAAGGAATGATGAATGAGTGAGTGTGCTGGAAGGTTCCACTTGTCTCATGGACTGTCATCTATAGGATGCCCAATTTTCTTTCATGACAAAATCGTTTTCTTTTTTTCTTTGCAATTATTTTATTGAGGTCATAATGGTTTATAACATTGTAATTTCAGGTGTACAGATCATTTTCTTAATGGTAATCGCTACAGGCCTGATTCCCCCCAACAAATGGTAAATGAACACCCTGGAAAGATGTATCCACCTTAATATCAATGTAATTCTTATTGTCTAGGAAAATCCCATTCTGAAGCTCTAGAAAATGTCATCCAGCCATCAAAAGGAACTCGTAACTTCATCTGAAGCCAAAATAAGTCAACTACAAGAAATTTTTAGTATCTTTCCTACCAGTAGGATTAGCACAACTCAATTATTATTATTTAAAAAAAAGTTTAGCAACAACAAACTAAACTGAGAAAAAAATACGAAGTATTATCATCATTTTTACTAATGAGAAAATGATTTTTATATACTTAGCAACTCCCTGTAAAACAGAGAAGAAATTAGGAATTTTTTTATTATTATTTTGCCACTGGCAATTAATTCTTCTGATTTGTTTTATTAGTCTGATGGTTGGGTCCAAGACTCAGAATATCTTTCCAAACCAGCAGACTGATGTAAGAAAATTATTTCAGTGCAGTTCTTGGCAAATCGTGATGATGAATAGCATGGTAGGACAAACTTATTCAGACACACATTTTTCAGTAGTGGCAGGGAAAAGGCTGAAAAATTACTAGTAAATTGCTTTTTGTAAAAATGCTCTCTCTTTCAAATTTTCCCTAGTATGAAGGTCTTCTGCAGAATGATGGCACAATACATTCTGACATACCTGGACAACATAGGCAGTGCAAGAATGAGTATGAGATGAGAGTGAGGGTTAAGATTTAATTTTCTTATTATACCCTACCTTCTCCCCTACTCTTCCCCACACCAGGTCCTTTTGTGTGCATCTCTTTGACCTGTTGGGATAAGTGTCTCTAAAAGCTATATATTATCTATCTTTAGCAGGCATGCTCTGCCCCACCCACTATCCACACTCCAGTTCTCCCACAACGGAGCCAGGACAGCGACTCAGCTGCAATCTGTTCCTTTCCTTTCCCCTTCTCTCCAAAACTGCCCAGTGTTTCGAATTTTTCAAATTGCAAAGGTCTCCAAATATCCCAAGCACCTAGTCAGGCACCAAAAACCAAAGAAGGCTTGTTCTCTGTCTTCTCCAAACTACCCCCAGGTGTGACTGTTTCGGATGAGTTCTTTCATCAGAGGACACACAGATGCGTCAGTGGGGTGAGGACGTGCCTCGCTGTTGGCTCAGAGCAGAGCTGGGGCTTTTCCAGAGAGAAGCTTCAGAACAGGCGCTCTCCAGACCCACCCGGCCCCTGGGAGGTGGGCCCTGCCATCTGTTCTTGGTCTTTCACTTTGCTTTCTCTCAGGACACACTGTAGCCACCCAAGAGTGAAAGGTCTCATGCAGTGGTGCTCACCTGGGGCCATTTGGCAACACTTCTAGCTGTCACACTCAGGGTGCTTCTTATATCTAGTGAGTAGAAGCCAAGACGCTGCTGAACACTCTCCACTCTCCACTGCGCAGGAGAGCTCCCACAACCAAGGACTACCCGGCCAGAAATGCCAGGAGGCCCCAGGCTGAGAAAGCCTGGTCTAATCTAAACTGGATTCTGCAGAGCTGATCTTTGTTATCCTCTAACACGATGACCAGTCCATTGTGTATAGCATAATCGATAACATACTTGACCTCTGTCTAAGCCTTTCATCCTGTAACACCAGTGGAGGCCTGCAAAGTGCCAAGGCCATGCTGGCCTGAGAGGCAGAGGGCAATGTAATGGGGTCCCCAGACTGCAGGGAGGGGCATCTAGAACACACTGTCTGCTGGGAGCTCTGGGCTTCTCTTCCCCTTCGCCGCACCACCACGCCCATAGGCCTCAGTCCTAACTCAGTGAGAAGTGAGGGTGTGGGGAAATGCCCTGCCCCTCTCTTTGCTGGGCACCTGGGTTATGGAGACAACATGAACTCAGGGGTCAGGTAGGTCAGGATGTGGCTCCTGCCTGTACGTCTTACTTGCTGTGTGACGTTGAACAAGTGACATGACCTCTGAACCTTCAGTTTCCTCCTTGAAATGGATGCATGGCACTGAAGACATTAGGTATAGCCTTCATGTACCAGCGGAGCACCTGGCGGCCCGCACTCCCGCTGACTCCTGGAGCGGCAGCCCCGAGTCTCGCCATTCCTGTGGCATTTCCTGAGAAGTGCTCTTGAGGGTTTCTGTGCTGGGTTCTCAGGCTCCACAGGCCTCAGTGGTCTGTCAACAGCTGGGCTGGGCACTGCGGCCAGAGCCTGTTCTTGTTGGGCTCTTGCACATTAGTGTCCATGACCGTGCCTCTCTGGGCACCTTGCCCCAATACCAGGGGCCTGCAAACCCAATTCCTCCCACCTACTGTTTTCTTCTCGAACACAAGGGGAAAAAGCAAACACTAACTCACAAACAACATAACTATATTTTCTCATTTTTAAGTTCAACCCTAAAGAAAGTTCTTCTGTGTGCAATAAACAGCTGTGAATCTGCCTAACAAAGTGAAGGCCTTTTCCCCCACTGGTATTCCCTGAGAGCAATCATTGGCCACCTGCATCTGTTTAGTTGCATTTAATAATTCAGCCCAAGATGAATTTGCATGATTAACATAAAGCCTCGTGATTTTATTTTCTTTCAGGATTTAAATACTGAAACAACCACCATTGTTTTCATTTTCAGGGGTTGTGATTAAAAAACAAAACTTGATTCTAGAATGAACAATTTCTTTTTAAAAAAAAAGTACTTTCAAATACCACTCTCCATAGAATCAAAGAAAAGAATTGCTAACACTGCCTTTATAGATGCAGGGAAACCCAGGTTCTTTTTATGGCTGGTGTTGACCCATTACAAGCAAGCCACACCTCAAACATTTATCCTTTATGGTTTTCCCATAAAATGGTATGGCCCACTCTCCCATGGCATCCATAATGGCTAACATAAAGAAATTTATTTCAGTTCCTCATCTTTGGGCTCTCCACATTTATCTGATCAGGACCCAGAATCTCCAATAAGTCTTTAAGAGAAAACAGCAGTCCTCTTGGATTCCAATAATAGATTAATCACGTCATCCTCAAAAAATAGTAAAAACCCAAACCAAATAAGTTGCATTTGGAAAACCATCTGCCTATGAAGTGGAGACGATGAAATGTGTGTGAACGATAATTTGCAAAGCAGAAGAGGCAGCATCGCTGGGTCTCTTGATGAATATAGTAAAACAGGTTTGTCTAATGGGGAAACATGCATCACTATCAAAAGAAACGAGTGTATCCCACATGGATAAGCAAGCAGGCTTTAATATCTGAGAAGCATTTCAAGCTGTGCCTGCCAGCAATTCTCCGCCTGTCTGATTTTCCTTAACATAAAGGCCGACCTCACTGGTTTAAAAATAATTAGGAAGCGGGAGGTAGTAAATTTGGCTAAAAGTTTGTGCTGTCCATGTTTGCACGGTGTTGCTGTTCCACTGACGCCTCTGTTGATGTTTCCGAATGCAGGAATCATGGTCAGTAAGGAAGCCGGCAAATGCGGACTCGCGACGCCAGAGAGTGAAGTGGAGCCTGCCGCCTGCCTGGCCCTGGAGATGAAATACGCCCTGGATCCCAACCGGCAGATTAAAAAACGGAATAAAGCCCTGCAGGTGCGGTTTAAGGATATCTGCGAGGCGCAGAACGAGCAGAGGGACACGCAGCTCTCTGCGGGACAGCCAGGCGAGAAGCGGGAGGCCAAGGCTGCGTCCTACAGAGCAGCCTACCGCAAATACATGACAGTGCCCGCCCGGAGGTCCATCCCCAACGTCACCAAGAGCACAGGTGTGCAGACCTCGCCCGACCTTAAAAAGTGTTACCAGACCTTCCCTCTGGACCGCAAAAAAGGGAATCTCAAAAGCATCCCAGCTGCGGATGCCTTTAAAAGTCAAGACAATGGGTTTGTAATACATTCGAAAGAGAAGAGTGAGGAAGGGGCCCGGGAGGAGGCCCGACCGTGGGGTGCAGGCCAGGTTCAGAAGACGGCGGCCTTGGTGGTCCATTCCGATGAACACGTGAACGCGCTGGACCAGCCCGCTGGGGTCAACTGTGCAGAGCCATGCAAAAACCCTGATTTGCACAGCTGCCGAGACGCTCCTCTCAAAAACTCCACTCGGCCTCCCTCCCAAGAGCCTGATTACCAGCTGCGTGAGAAAGCAAAACATGACAGGGTGACACCAGACACTGAGGAACCCGCTGCATCGGCCCATGGGAGGGTGTTTAAAACGGAGGTGGCCACCGTTTCTGCACCGGTCGCCAGTGCAAAGACCCCAGAGCCGGCCTTATCAAACTCTGCCGCCACGAGCGAGTGGTCCCTCTTCCCGGTGGCCGACCAGGAGCGGAGGAGAGCCACACATCTCAATGGGCTCCAGGTCCCCCCGGGCACTGCTGTGGCCTGCTCGCCCCCAGTGCAGTGCCTGTCCCCTGAATGTAGTGAACGGCCCCCGCAGACTCCAGCCCCGCTGCCGGGGGAGGAGAACCAGCCTTGTCCGACAGCGGTCGCTGTGGGTGAAGAATGCCAGCAAATCGTGCCTCAGACGGAAGTGGGCGACCTGAAAACACAGCTGCAGATAATGGAGAACTTGATCAGTTCCAGCCAAGAAACCATCAAAGTGCTCTTGGGGGTCATTCAGGAGTTGGAAAAGGGAGAGGCCCATCGGGAAGGGTATGTATGCTCACACGTTTCTTATGAAGCTCTGCAGGCTTGTCACCCCCTGGGGCCACCTGGAGCCTGCAAAGCCCAAATCCATAATAAGACTAAAGCTAGCATTTCTGTGAACAGGCTGTGGTCTGAGGAGACAGGAAGCTCATAGGGGTCACAGAATATTTTGACACTAGCCATTGCATGCTCGCTTTCAAGATTTACCTGTTGGTTAGCATTCATCTGCCTGGGCTGGAATTCAAACCATGATTTTCAATGAACTGATGCATCTTTCCTTTTTATCTCCTAGGACAAGGGTCTATGATATTGATGAAGTATAATAGATATGCCAGTTCAAAATATCTAATCTAAATAAGAAGCTACTTGCCTTTTAGAAATCATATTATGGAAAAGAAAGAATTCACGTAGTATTTTGCAAAGTAAATGCTGACTCGCTTATATTAAATAATTGGAATAAGATTGATATTCAGGACTTTATACCATCGACAATATGTTATTATTTCCTTACCTGGAACTCGTAGCAGCCATGCCCATCCTGAGACGAGCCCTGTCTGTACGATTAGGAGAGAGAGGCCTTTCCCCATTGTTGCCCTGTGTGTCCAGATGGGCTGTAGAGGGAATGATCCCAAGTTAACAGCCAATACTGTCTAGCACTGATAACAGATTGCAAAACTTTGTTTCCATCTTTTGAAATTGAAATTGTGCAGCAGCAAATTTAAAAAATGACCTAATGATAGGATGTTAGTCTTGAGCCCCTTAGCTAGGAAGCCTCATGAGGGCCAGGCAGTGTGCTACGCTGATACAAACCAGCCAGCACTGCTCTGGTTCCACGCCTCTCCAAACAGTGCCCACAGCTTACCAGCCTTTGTCCAGACTGCCAGGCCTTCTCTTTCCCATTTCGCCTTGAGACTTTCTGGATTCCTCCAGCCCATGTTCTGGATGTTGGATCTGAGGCAGTGACCCTCTGCCTCAAGGGATTAGCACCCTTCACTGTGGGCCCCTACCCCTGGTTAAGTGAGCTGGCAGCCAGCATGTACATACACCAAGAGATGCATTGTCAGGGCAGCAAACCAGCCCCTGCACGGTTTCCTCAAGAGGATTGTTGTGGTTGAGGTACACAGTGTTTGCAATTGCAAACAACAGGAGGAAACAACCTCTGCATTCCAGGGCAGGACTGAGTGAGGCTTAAGCCCTGGCTCCAGAGGCAAGGTGCCTGATGTAGGGTCTGCCCTTGGCTTCTGGCTTCTCCAGAATTGTGTAGGTGGCCCATCTACAAAAGGAGTTAATTCTCAATACCCCTCGCCTCCTAATTATAGAGTATTGTTTGTGGTCACCAGTATTAAGCAAAAAGAATTGCTAATTACTCGTAAAATAATCTAACAGGAGATTAGTAGTAACCTAACATTATAGAATGTTTCCAAAAGGGCTTGTTCAGTCTTGGGTTTACATCTCCATTTTCATCCCATTTCAATCATTTAGACTTGAATATGTACATATCCAAAAGCAACACACTAAGGTGGGTCTGTAAGGGATTTCTCCATCAGTAGACCATATTCCCACGGAAAAATTAAAAGGCCAAACAGGGACCCGATCATTGACTTTGATATAGCTGGTGATGTCTTAAACCAGACCGCAAAACAGGGAGATACCAACATCACCAGTTGGGAAATAAAATTCACCAAATGGTATAAAACCAAATGCATCTGCTAATGTGCGTGCTCACAGGGGAATGTGCCAAATAAAAACCTGCAAAGCCTGGACATCACCAACACCCATGAAAGGAGAACCGGGTTACATACGTTGGCCCCTTGTTAAATTCTTAGAACAAGTGTGGAAATTTGTTTTAAACAGGATGCTGAGTTCTCTGAGACTGTATCAGTCTAGCGAAGTGGTTTTGAGTTTAGTAAGACATGTCTCGGTGGGAATTCTGGCTCTGAGGACTGGGGCAAGGGCTGTACCTCTCTGTGCCTCATTTCTTCACCTGTAAGATGGAGATGATCATCCATCCTGCAGGTGGAGGGTGAGGATGATATGGGTGACCTTCTCATGCGTTTAGCCCAGTGCCAGGTGTGTTGGAATGGGTTGATGTCTGCCAGAGGTGTGAATGTTGGTCTTGCTGGTCAGTGATGTCAGGGTCGGGAGAACACTGAGCAGCCCCATGTCTGAGGCCAGCGTAATGAAGGCACCCCCACACTCTCAGCACACAGGCTGCCACCCACTGCTGTCCCTGAAAGCCCTGAGCTGCTCTCTCCAGTACAGTGGCCGCTAGCCGTATGTGGCTATTGAAATTCAAACTCAAATTAATTACAATTGAAAATTCAGTTCTTCTGTCGCACTGGCAACATTTCAAGTGCTCAAGAGCCACATGTGGCGACTGGCTGCTGCAGAGGACAGAGAACATTTCCTCATCACGCCAGCATCCTTAAAACATGGCACAGTGCCTTGCTCCTAACCACCGAGGCCTGGGCACCTTAGATCAAGGCAAAGGATGACATTACTTTAAAATCAATCCCTCGTTCAGTTGTTGCCTGCACAGGACAAGCTCACAATAGAAAGACAGGTCCTTATCCTGGTGAACTCCCACATCTGTCCCTAAGAACCTTCATTTCCACCTCTCTCTGAGCCCTCTGGACTCAATGGATCAAATGGTTTCGAACTCCAAGGCCACTGTGAAGGTGACCCATCTTGCTCAATGCCCCAGGGTCATTAATTTGGCCAAAATTCCGATTTCCACTACTCTTTTCCATGTGAGAACATAGGGGAGGACAGCAGCCTCAGAGGTGGGCAGATAAGAAGCAAGCTCATTCTTCATCCTGTCTCCAGGTATCTGGGTCCAGTGCAGTCACGGGGAATCAGAGAGATGTGCTGGCACATCCTTAACAACTGGCTCTGGGAGGAGGGGGAGTAACATTTGCTGATTTCAGTGGTGTAAATACTGCTACCATGGCCGATTTCAACCAGCTCACAAAATCCTGAAAATTTAACATTCTGCTCCTCGGAGCACTAGATCAATTCCTTTACGAGTATGCTCTAGGACCATCATTGTAGAAGGAAGAGTTTACAGGACTTAATTTATGTACTTGATTTGAGCTGGGAAATAGAAGTTTTAGTAAAATGAGGAATTCACAGGACTTATTTTATGTACTCAAACTAAGCCAGGAAATAGGTGTTTTCGTTGCATCTCATGGTAGAAAACAGGAAAACTCACTCTATTTTATGGAGATTATTATGTAGTCATTATGTAATATGACAAAGAATTTCATGACCAAGTTAAATATCAATAGAGTTTTCCTTGGAAAATATTCTAAAGTTTAAAAGTTAATAAGAGTGGAGAATGCTCGGGAGGGGGGTAAAATCCATTTCTCTCCCCACCCTCCACCTCCAATAAAGTATGGAGGAGTCTGCTTTGTGTAGAATTTTACCTGCATTAAGGGGAGTCCTAGTGAAGGCAGGTATGTTGTGTGCATCGCAGAGCCCATGACTTTAAATCCCAGTAACACATTTTGCCCTCAAATCCCACATCATATTGTAGGCTTAAGCCAGGCTGGGTGAGGCCACAGGCCTTCTCTCGTGTACGATGTTAGGATGGAGCTAGGGAAGGCAATACTCTTTTGAACTTGGCTAGTGACGGTGGGCCAAATTATGTCTCCTGAAGCATACCGAATGTATAACTCTTTAATAGGAGTCTTTTCTTTTCACTACTTGTTTATTTGTTTATGCATTCTCACTATTGAGTTTGTGCAAACTGCATGATTAAGTTTGCCAGGCAAGCTCTTTGCAGTAGTTCTTACTCTCTGCATCGGAATTTCTGTGTCACCAAACACGACCACTTTCAGTAGCTTCCAAGTTATTTTTCGTAAGAGACTCTTTCATTAATCTCATTTGCTTATGTAGATTTCTGAAAGGCCTCAGCAGAGAAAGTTTTCAGCTTAGGCAAGTTACTTAAGCTCAGTGAGCTTCCATTTCATCTTCTATCAAATAGGGATCGTAGAAGCTTAAAGATGATATCTACAAAGCTCCTAGCAATAACCAACACACAGTGGGCACTGAATAAAGGACATTTCCTAATAGGAGCATTTCAGTAGGATGCATTCTGTGAGTATGTGAATGTGCAAAAAGTATTCAAAATCATGCCTTTTAGTCCCTTATAAAATGTTAGGGTAATTCACTAAAATTGCTTGCTTTATGCAGTGCAGCAGCATTTGATCACTCTGCTTGCATGAATGCCAAGAATTACCCTGCTTATTTCAGAGCTCTCAGTATTATTCTTGTCTCTTCCCAGGAAGTTCAGGGTCACATAGACTACCTAAATAAGCCACTCATGTAGCCATTGAAGGCTGAGAACCAGGCAAATGGGAATGGGGCACTGAGTTTAAAAACCCAGCCAATTTTTGTTAACGGTCATAATTCCCCAGAGCAGCCATGTGTTGCTGGGCAGGACAACCTCCGACCCACGGGGTGCAGGGCTGCAGTGCTCCTGGTGCATGCTCACCAGCAACTGTGACATGGCACCCCGGGGGGGATGGCTGTTTACCTCTAAGACTCTGCACTCCACACATTTAGTGTCTTGATGGGTTTATTGGCTGGTGACAGCCTAATGATATTCTGCTATTCAGTGAAGACCTGAGAACAATATGAAAAGCTTTATTCGAGCTATCAAGCACGAGGGCAGGATTTGCCGTTGCCCAGAGTGAAGTAGGTTCTTTCATTGGTCAGGTCTCTCCCAGCATCGGCCGGGTGTTACCTGCAGGGTTGGGTGTTGGGGAGGCAGCGGGGGAGCAGAACCCAGGCCACAACGGGCCCTTAAATGTGACCAATAAGCAGAGATGAAATCATGAAACTCCGGGGGCTCTGTGGCTGTACTGAGTCAGAGCAGATGTGAGACTACTACTTAAAAGAAGAAAATTCTAAATAACAAACCAACCCAAGAAGTCCAGTAGCTTGCAGGAAAGGTTGTAAATCCAGTGACCCTCAGTCTCCCATTAGTCCCTGCTACCCCCTGA